TTCTGTTGTGTTTGCTCTTTGTTTTGATTGAACTCTGTAACTACCCCAGAGACTTTAGCGTCTGCGTGACTTTGATCAAACCTGGTTTTCGATGACTTTTGCAGAAGTCTCAGATTTACACCTGGGATGGGAAAATGCCTGTGCGCTGGAAGAAAATGGAGAATTTCAAGCTGGAGCTGCCAAGAGATACACTTCTAAGTGTAGAGATTGTCCAAGAACTAAAGGGCGAGGTGAGAGAATGGACTAAAACTCTGTGACAGACTCAGGTTTTCTTATCACTTATTATTCTGATCCTCTTGGACTCAAATTTTCTGTTTAAACATTTTTTTAAGGTATCGACCTTTTACAGCTAGCCTCAATCAGAATGCGTGACTTGCATTGCGGTTTATGTGCAGCTGAGTAGGATGCTTTCTGAGCTGTGTTACGCTCTCCCTTTGGTCCTCAGGGCAAAGCTCAGCGCAGAATCAGCGCAGTTCATGTAATGGATGTGCTAATACTGAACGGCACTGATGTAAGAGATCAGCACTTCAACCAGCGGTGAGACATTTTTATCCACTAGCTTAAAAATGGGTCTTTGTATGAGAAAAAAGTAGAAAATCATTAAAAAGACTAGTAATGTATTCCCTGTATATTGAGTTTTATATTGTAATAGTTTCAGATAATCTTCGTTGTGTCTGCTAAATGATGTTTGTTATGTTTCCAGGATCCAGATGGCTGACAAGTTTGTGAAGGCGGTGGCTAAACCCAGCAGACCAGACATGAACCCCATCAGGTACTCCCATCTGCCGTCTTTTAATTTTATTTTCTTACTAACTAAATATTGGTTTATGCAATCTCACATGTTTTATAATTCTTAAAAATACTGCTTCCAAGTACTGCTGTGGTAGTTGTGATCGAACGCTGAGCAGAAATCTTACTTGCAGTTTGGTAAGTTACAAAGATTACAAAGCATCTTTTTTCCCCCCAGAGTGAAGGAGGTTTACAGGCTGGAAGAAATGGAGAAAATCTTTGTCAGGTATGGGAAGAGAACCCTTTGAGTAGCTGCCGTGTATATTTACTACTGCAGCTTCTTAGATTTGTCCTGTTTTTCAAGATCAAGGCTCCTTTTATGGCGCTTGTCAGAAAAACTTGTCATTTCCTTCCCCACCCAGACTAGAGATGAAAGTGACAAAGAGCTCAGGTGGTGTCCCGCGTCTGTCCTACACAGGCAGAGATGACAGACACTTCCTTCCCACGGGCCTCTACATCATCAAGACTGTCAATGGTCTGTATCTTGTGATTTGTTTTAACTGCGAGCACAAACAATGCTGCGAGCAAAATGTCTTTATTTATTTATTAGTAAGTAAATAAATGCGGGATTTCTTTTCTCCTCCACCATTCAGAGCCGTGGACGATGGCGTGCAGCAAAAACTCCAAGATGAAGTTCTTTTATAATAAAACAACCAAGGAGTCGACCTATGCAATGCCACCGAACTCTGCTGCTCCTTTCCAGTATGTAGCGTCCTCTTAATTTCTCTCTTTATTCCAGAGATTCACATCTGAAAAAGTTCATATGCTTTTTAAAATAAAAATAATAAGTGAATGTAAATATTTTAAGATCTCATAAGTAGGGCTGTTCGATATAACGATATATATCAGATAACGATAAAAAAACGTCTATCGTTTCATTTTACGCTATCGTTTGTTTTGTGGTGTCGCAAAATAAACTGTTTATGGCAATTTTTTTTTTTATTGTTTTGATGGTCACTGTAGAATTTCTTAAAGTTCTCTCTTTCTCTTATATTTAGTAACCACATTTAGTAATAACCACACTACGGACGGACAAGCGGCTGTTTTTATGCGTTGTCATTAGCAACAATGATCGTGTGGCTCCGCCGTCCGCTTGTTTATTTTCCACATAAATCTTTCACAGTAAAGCTGAAATTCCTGTTGAGATTTTTCAAAATAAACTGAATCACGTGACAGATGAGCGGCCAAAAAGAGCCGTCAGGTGCTAAAAAATAAACCTTAGAACAGGCTTTTCCCCGAAGCACGCCGTGTAATAAATACTCACGAAGAGAATTACGGCCGTTTCAAGTTGAAACGGCCGCCAGGTACACGATACCCAGCTGAAAACACTTCACGCAAGTCGAGTTGCCCAAGATTCACAGAATTGGCTGAAAATGTAAACTTTTTGTGATATATATCGTTGTCGGGACGATAAATGTCTTCTATCAGGAAATTAGATTTTGGTCATATCGCACAGCCCTACTCATTAGCTCATGTTTTATTCACAATAGAACACAGGAAACGTGTTAAACAGCATTTAAGCTGTTTCACTATTTCATGGAAAATATTGACAAATTCTTTTCCTTGCAGCGTGTGCCACTCCGAGCGGCTCTTCTGGGCCTGGGTGGATGGGGTTATAGTTCATGATTCTCAAACCAGAGTGGACCCTGAGAAACTGTCCAAAGATGACGTGCTGTACTTCATACACCAGCATTACCAGCCCTGAAAGACTCCCAGTCACAGGGCTTCGTCAGCTGCAGACTGTACACAGAGTGCGCTGGATTGTGAAGCCTTGGCAAAGAGTACAATCCAGTTCACTAATCGTCATTTCATTTAACAATCAAAGGACGGTTATTAAAATGACTTTACAGCTGATTGTTTTTATGAATCCGTTGCTTACTGTCTTGTTAAATATCAATAAACTGCTTTATGACCCTTTGGAAGGTACCTCCATGTTATCTTGTTATCAGGTTGGAGTTGTTTGCTGCTGTTTTTAGCAGTGGCATGTCCTCGTAAAACTGACGTTTGACAGACCGGTCTATTTTTCAGTCTTTTCCACTTCCTTTGACTCGACCTTTGATTTTGAATTGTAATGAGTAGCATTGCCTTATAGGACAACATGGAGGTGTTTGCTGTGCCCTATAGATTCAGTTTCTCCAGTTCCTCCTCAATGCCACTCTTGTTTTTGTGCACACTGCATTAGCAGTGATAGATAGGGTCACAAGGTCGAACTGTGAATCCACATCTGTAATTATTCTTTCTTCTCACCATGACTGGTCTTCTAAAGAAAACACACGGGTCTGTTTGCCTCATCTTTACACTAACAGTGTCGCGGTGCTTTCCCTTGCAAAACTGTGTAGCATGTAGATCACCCTTTAAGTCGTTCTCACAGTCATTTCAACGTGCATTCAGAGATGGAGCAGCTCTCTCCTCTCCACGCTTCTCTGTCATCTAGACTGTGGGAGTGAAGTTTGGAAGGTGTCCCCTTTAGCTTTGAGGTTGTTTGTACCCCACCTGCTCTTTAAGATTGTGCCTCCATATCTTCTAGTTTGTGTCTGGTTTTTGTTTTTTTTAATGCTGCAAATGAGTTATTTTTCTGGTGTAAATTTAGCTTTCAATCTCTTTGATGTAAATATTAATAAGTAAATAAATGGGAGATGCTGTTCCCACAATATATGTTCAACTGCCTGGTGATATTGGGTGGAGACAGTAGTTGGAGTAAAGGCTGGATTAAGCTGTTAGAAGGCAACGGGTGTGCTCATATACCAGCCAAATTACACAAGTGCACACAACATTTTGTAGCTTAGTTGTTTTGCTCACAGCTTTAGAAATGTGGTCAGACTGTGGGAATTTGAGCCCAGTATAAGAGAAATAAAGCTTTGGGAATACTAATCTGTTCACTCTGGAAGCATGAACCATTATGAATCTATTTCACCTGCTGTGTAAGTACAGGCATTAACAAGTGCAGGTCAACCCTCAAGGAAAAGCAGTGGTTTTGCAGGTGGTTGCCACAGAACTTGCCTTCTCCTGTTTTTCTGCAGAGTCTCAAGAGCTGCACGGTGCTGGTCTGTGAGCACTGGCCCCACTAAAGGATGGCAGAAGCTCATGCTGGTCCTTGTTGAGTCTGTTTCTGATAGTTTGGTCAGTAACACACAGGTGAGTAGCCTGCTGGACGTCATTGTGCAGGCCTCCATCAGTGCTCCTCCTGTTCCTCCTTGCACAATGGACCTGCTGGGTTGATGTTCAGCCTATCAGGTCTATCCATAGATTCCTCCACTATGGCACGTGGTTTTGCAGGTGGTTGCCACAGAACTGGTATCTCTGGATGTGCCTTCATAATAATAAAAGATCTGATCCTCTGGGTCATTTATTCCACATTAACTTTCTGAATCCTTTCAGTTTCACTGGCAACTCATAAGATTGAGAGTCACTTCTATTAACAGCAAATTGTCCTCACAGTTCTGCTGCTTTTTACACATTACACAAGAGAAACATTGTCTTTTACTCTTTTACCTTCAACTCTGAACACAATAAAATCCTATTTCACTGGAATTTTCCAGGCACGTTATCATTTCATTATCTTACATCCAAATAATACATCCCAACCAATTATAGTAGAAGGTTATTATAGATTACTAAAAGTAGATGTGAAAATTGTTGCTGTTAAACTGAAATTAAAATAAAATTGGATGTAAAACCTGCACTGAAATAAATGTATACAGGAAAACTTATGAGTTATGAAAGAAATAATCAAACAGATGCAAAGTTTCAGTAACTGGTTTAAAAATCTATATATTTCTAGTAGAAGAATTGTTGTAAATGACTTCATATATAATTGATTTGTCATGATAAAAAAGTCTACATGATGTTAAGCAGAAATTGCAACAAGTAAAACATAATTCTATAAAAACTTTGTAAGTGGCTAGAAAGGACTGAGCTGATTACAATGTAGAGCACAGTATGTATAATAATAAGGGCAAGGATACTTTCAAAACAGGTCATTTCTTTATTTTACATAAACCCTTTTATAAAGCCTGTTGACCACAGCCTGTATACTAATATAAGCAAAGACATTAGACATTAAATAACACACAAACACACACGGAAATCACTTTTTGGTACGAAAGGGTGTACATATTCATGCCAAACCGGTTTAAATTCAGGCTGAAGTTGAACTTTCCGGGAGAAGGCTTGTATTTACTCGGGGCGTGTCCTATTGTGACAAGACAATCGGTCCGCCAATCAAAATGCGCATTTATGTAACAGGAAGAGATGTTACGAAAACAAGCGCTCCTAACAGCACCCACCTTGTTCGCCTAGACATCGGTTACCAAACACTCGAGTTGACTGGTAATTATGTCTTTTTCTATCTTTATATGTTATTATTTTACTGTAAAAAAATAATTTTGCTGTGTTTTGATAAAAAGCTACACGTCCACCGAAATAAGAAAAAAAAAAGCGATTGCATTTGTAGGAAGTTGTTGAATAACCTAAGATGCGCGGTTTTACATTATTGTTTAACTTTGCAGCGGCTGGAAAGCTGAGTTTGCTTCTGTCTTATCCTTGGAAAAGGAGGTTTGGATCATCAGTCATGCTGAAAGCTGTGGGACAAGTGTTGTTCTCAACTGGTCTGCAGAATCCGAAATTCACTGCAGAGGAGAAAAAGGTAAGTGCTCTGCAGTTTAGCTCATAAAACAGAATATTGGACCTTTGGTCTGAGCTTGTCCCCGCTGTCACGGGACAACAGGGTGATGTGCATTAAATGAGTGCTTGATGTTCAGTTGACAGCAGAAGAAACCACAGTAAACTTGGTTAAACTATTAACCCCTGTGTCGTGTGTGCACTGCGTTATGCATATTTCCACTTTTTGATTTTTTAGTTCTTGTGATGCTGAATTTATCCAGTAGATCATCCAGATGTTTGTGCTAAATATAAACAAGAATAAAGACCAATTCGAGAAAGTCTTGTCTGATATAAGATTTGTAACTGATTAACGGCCCTTTTTTTGTTGCATTATTAATTTCATAACGAGCTAAATATTTTCAAGTGGTGAAATGTGTGAACTGCAGGCAGGTCAGTTCACACCCAGACTCTTCTGTTATGAAGCTGTGCTATTGTAATAGCACAGCTTCATAATAGCACGTATACAGCTGGCATCATCTGGATGCCAGCTGTGTACGCTGGATAAGCTGTATGTGTTATTCTAAAACCTGTATATACAGCAGGGATGGAACTACAGGAGGGGCAGACAAAAGAAATGTCTGACAACAGAAATTTTCCATTTTGCTTTAGTGCATTTTAAATGAACGTTGGCCCAGAGAAGAAGGTAGTGTTTCTGGATCATGTTTCATATATATATTCATGGATAGTGAACCGTGTTCATAGACAGTGATTTATGGAAGGGCTCCTGAGTCCATGCAGTGATTTCCATGACAGACTCGTGCCTGTTTTTAAAGCAATGCTGCCCGAGAGCACAAACGTCACAAGAATCCAGAATTGATTTTGGGGCCTTTTCTCGTGCGCATGGAGATTTCTCCAGATTCTGAGATTTTTTTGATATTATGTATTGTAGATGATGAGATATTTAAAGTCTTAGATGTCCTTTTTATTCTGTGTCATGTTACTGATGTGCTGACAGTTAATAATAATAATGGATTGGATTTATATAGCGCTTTTCAAGGCACCCAAAGCGCTTTACAATGCCACTATTCATTCACTCTCACATTCATACACTGGTGGAGGCAAGCTACAGTTGTAGCCACAGCTGCCCTGGGGTAGACTGACAGAAGCGAGGCTGCCATATCGTGCCATCGGCCCCTCTGGCCAAGACCAGTAGGCAAGTAGGGTAAAGTGTCTTGCCCAGGGACACAACGACCAGGACAGAGAGCCCTGGGATCGAACCGGCGACCTTCCGGTTACAGATGTGATTCCCAACCCCCTGAGCCACGGTCGCCAGTTAACCTAATTAGTGCAAAATATTCCTCCAGATGTTACTTTTTAACACCACCAACACCACCTTGAAACATGTTGCAGCCATCAAATTCAAAATGAGCCAATGTTTTTCTTAAAAGTTTTATATTTTCTCAGTTTCAGCATTTGATATATTTTTTCTGGTCTATTGTAATGAAAATATGCTTTTATGAGTTTTGCAAATCATTGGGTTATGTTTGCTGTGTGAAATTTTCACACAGCAATTTTTTTCACACAACTCCAGTTTTCTAGATTTGTGGCTAAATGAGTCATATTTTTTGTTGTAACACACATTTGAAGAGAAATGGGATTGTCTTTTTCACAGTTTCGAGGTATTTTGTATACAAAATCTTGGATTTTTTAAAAAATTGCTCAATAATAACCAATTGTCATCCTCATTGTGCGCCTGTGTGTGGCAGGGACAGGACTATGAAATCCGCACCTACCAGCCCACTAAGTGGGTGAGCACCTCTGTGAGCGGGATGCAGCTGGAAGCAGCCTTGTCTACTGGCTTCCGTAGACTCTTCAACTACATCCAAGGCAACAATAAAAACAGTGAGTTTCATGTTACTGCTATCACCTTCACGCAAGGTAAGCTGAGCCTGCGTTGCTGAGGCTGTGCGAGTTGTTTAAGGCTTTTATTTTGTGGCGCTGTGGCAAATCTGTTACAAAACCTACACGTCACAATGGCAGTATTTTAATGTTGCACAATAAATTTACAGAGAACTGGGGTTCCAAGGCATCAATGGATGGAAAAGTCAGAGAAAGTGCACTTTCGTTCCTGCTCAGCACTTTGCAACAGTTCCTCCTCTCTTACTTTTGCCTTGCTCAGCAGTTTGCAGCAATATTTATGAGAATATATATTGTTTGTGTTGCTGGCTCCTGAGGTCAGCAGCATAAGGAGATTGTGATCTGTAAACATGGCGTTTAATCCCATTCATCTGGCGCACATCGTGGTTACAGCCCAACCATCTGTACAGCTGTCACCATGCACCAAAGTTTCGATTCACCAGCTGGTGACTGATAGTTCGTTTAGGAAATTTAACATCTGTAAATCTCACACAAGCTGGTTATATTTCAGCCCTATTATCATCATCATGATGTTTGGCATGTGTGGCTACTCTTTTTTTTTTTTTCCCTTTTCAACAAAAGAACCTCCTTTCTTGCTGGTTCTATAGAGGCCAAAGTGGAGATGACGGCCCCCGTGACGTGCCACGTGAAACCCGGGGCCGGCCCTGCGTGTGAATCTCAGTTCACCGTATCCTTCTACATCCCAGAGGAGCATCAGGCCACTCCACCCGAGCCCAACGAGCCCGAGGTGTTTATAGAGCACAGGAAGGAGTTGACGGTGTATGTCAGGTAGGGTCCAAACAGAGCCGCCAGGTTAGACTTTGGATTGTTTATTTTGTGAAAGTCCAAAACAAATACAGTGATCAGCCATGCGTGGTTTAGTTTTTTTTTTTCTTTCTTTAAAAAAAGAAAGAAAGAAAGAAAGAAAGAAAGAAAGAAATCTTTTGTCTATTCCTCCAGGACATACGGTGGTTTCTCCAATGATAACATGAAGCGTGAAGAGCTGCTGAAGCTTATGGAAAGTCTGAAGAGGGATGGAGTCCAATACATCGAGAAACCGTACTACGTAGCCGGGTACGACAGCCCTTTCAAACTGACCAACCGCAGGAATGAGGTTTGGATCCTCAAGAACGAAGACGAGCAGTAGAGCGTTCCTGGGTCACTCTATCCTATCAAAATGTTAGTGAAGGGAATTTAAATGTGATGATTTGATACATTTCTGTTTGACCAGAAACAAAAGTTAGATTTGTTACTTACACTAAAAGTTACTGATTACTCACTGAAAAACTTGATAAGGAGACTAATTACACGACAACTAGAGGTCCTATCAGCCATATGAAGCAATATAACCAGCAGGTGGAGCCAAGTAGTCAAGAAAATGTTTCTTATGTTAACAGAAAACCCCACAAGTACGTCTTAATTAAAAAATATATATATATTTTTAATGAATATTTTCAAAATACACTAATTTTAGGCTTTTGATTGTGCATGTTGCTAACCTCCTTTTTCACAGCAGATGTTTTAGCCTGACAGGGCAGGGACAGCACCCATGTGACTGATAACATTCACAGTGTGAGCCGGGTCCAGGGGGGGCGGTGTAGGCTGGCTCACTGTGGGAGCACACTGTGTACCTTTCCTGTGTGCGACGGACACGAAGCTTCTTGCTTTTCATTTACACTCCCACACTAGCAGGTGAGAGCAGCCACGTGTCACTCAGGCGACGCTGCTTAGATTTGCCGTGTCATCAGATGTTTCCATCAACAAAGATCTGTTTAAGTCATGCTGACACCATAAATATATCTATTTTAGGATCACTGGCTGCACTCAGAATATGTGAGACTTGCAAAAGTAAACCAGAATATATATATATATAGTCTTTCCTGCAGGTCTTATTGGAAAACTTAGTGAAAACAGTTAACCCATAATCATGAAACACAATTTCAAACAAACAGTTTCAGCTGCTTTTTCCTGCAACGTCAAGTCGGAGCCTTTGCTGTGAAAAATGTTCAAATAACATGGCAACTAACTGCTACTTGTTTACACTCGCATATTGATGTGACAGGACTGTGTGTAGGAAACAAAGAAAGCAAAGGAAATGTTCGTAGTTGGGTTTTTAAGTCAGTCCTAAAATAATACTAGTGCCTTTATGGACATTAAAACACAGATAAATCCAGTCATCGCTGTGTGTAAAAGTGCAGTCTGACGGCTATTAGATGCAACTGTGAGGCTTTGTCAGTTAGAGTTACGTGAATCAGCAGTCAAAATGGGGGGGGAAATAGTTTTTTGCAGTTTAGTGAGGACTCGCAGTCCATAAAAAAAAAAAAATAAAAATAAATCTACACAAAAATTATCAGTGCATCTAAAAGTGCAGAAGCCTCATATTTGTTTTCACTGAACTTTGGAGTATAATATTTGCACACGCCACGAGTTCAGCCTGTGAAAATGTGTCTCCTGGTACTTGGATTTGAGTCGCATTAAGAAAGGGATCGCATCAAATCCATTATGACCAGAGGGATCAAGTGCAAGGGATTAAGCATTAAACATATTTTGACTTTGTAGATCAGCTGCACAGTTTAGCAGAAGGTTTGTGTTGTCAGTCAGCTCTGGGAAGGTGACTCTGCCTGGCAAGCGGCCGAGCGTCGGTAAATCTCAGTTTATCTGCTCTCAGGCCTCACTTACTGCCACTGCGACCGCATATGCATCCATTGTGATGAATGGCTGGGCCCGTCGCAACACGTCTCATAAGCTGTCATTTTTGTTAATGAATATAAATGTGTGTTTAACCAGCTTTGTGCTCAATTGCTCAGACTGACCATTTTTAGTTTAATATTGACAGAGAGCTAATAAAAATGTGCCTTTTTTCTTTTATATCTTCATATAATCATTAAGTGTGTGTGTGTGTGTGTTTATTACTCATAGTAGTGCTCGGATGAAGAATGATGGCACGAGCAATGCACTGATAAGAATATTGGGAAATTTGAAAGTTTACATAATGTAAATTGTCTTATCTAATCAATAACTCGTGATTAAACCATTATTCGGATCATAAATGTGCGTTTAAGTATTTGTCATTTGTATTTCCTGCTGGGCTTTTTCAGTCACAGATTACAGTTTCACGTGTTCAGTAACAGATAAAATCTGGATCGTCCTCGGCTCGTATCGATCGTTTGTCAGCCGCGGCTCACTTCGCCCTTTCTCACCTCACCTCACGTCTCCTCTCGCGCCCTCGTCGCTCTCAGCCCGATGTCTGCTGAGTCACTCATTTTATTTGTGGCAGAATTGTTCCCAATATCATGTTCACACACTCAGCAGAAATTATGTATTTTTTTTTATCCTCTGTTCATGCATACACACACGCATATTGATCTCGTTGGCCGTGCTCAGCAAAGCGAAACGTGCTGTGGAGGGGATCGGTTTAATGAGGCTCACTGTTTTAATCTAAACACCACAGTTTTGTATTTTAATTTTATCTCCTCCCCTCCAGCCTGGCGGAGACTAGAGCTGATGATGTGAAAGTACTTTCATTTTCTGGTGAGATTAACTGGAGAAATTTACTGTTCAGTTTGGATGCAACAGAAACTGTGTGGATGTAGTATTCATATCTCATAATGCACATGTAAGAACTCTTTGTCTTTGAGATTAATATAACTCCTGCCATTCATTAACTATAGTACTTTGGCTCAGCTGACTGGTGAATGAATGCTAGAGTTTAACACAGTTCAGACAGAAACCTCTAAACACCAGTATTGGAAAGGTTTGGGAGTCTACATAGCTGCTGTAAGCGGGTCCCCAAAAACTGTTTTCTTCTGTGGTTTAAACTAAGTATTTAGCTTGATTAAAACACTTTCTTCTACTATTATGCTTTTTTTTAATAGCATTCTTGTGTTGGAATCTTTAAATACTTTCACATTGTAAAATTTTATGCCCTCCAAATCAGTCCATCCACCTTTCTTTCACTTATCCAGATTTGAGAAGGTGCTGGAGTCTATCCCAGCTGTCATATGACGAAAGGTGGGGGTACACACATAGGTCTAACACATTCAGTCACACCTATGGTCAGTTTAGACTAACCAAATTACCCAACATGCACGTCTTTGGATTGTGATGAAGCCAGAGTAACCGGAGAGAACGCGCTCCAACAACTCCACACAGAAACGTCCCAACCTGGATTTGAATCCATGTGAAAATTATTAGCATGAAAACGGTGGTTAGCACTATTGCCTCACAGCAAGAAGGTCCTGGTTTGATTCCCCCATCTGACCGGAGTCTTTCTGTGTGGAATCAAGTGCAAAAAAGCTAGATGTTTAATAAGTGAAGCAGCACTCTGTTCTCCAGCCTAAACACATGTGGTTACTATTCCTGGCCTCCCTGCGATCAGCCCTGCTTTATTTGCCATGACTTATAAACACTCTCCATTGAGTGGTCTTGAATGTAAGAAGACGGGGGGGAAGCGGTGAAGTGTCAATAGTGTGATTATAGCTGCGGGGAGTTCATATTGATTCCTGTCTCGCAGCCAGATGGACGCTGCGTCAGAGGGCAGGTGGCTGCTGAATCAGAGGTGACGGGGCTTCATTTAAAATACTAAGACACTGTCTGCGTTTCTGTTCCCCTGAGAAGACTGACGGGCCAGTGGCGCAATGGTATTTATAGGTGTCTCTCTGCAGGACGTTGATGCAGGAATATTGAGAAGTTGCAGCGTCCTGTCTGGATGGCTCAGCGCTAACTGGGAGTCACGCGAGAGGCTCTAACACAGTGTGTCCTAATAGGATGTCCAGAAGGAATATAAGTGATGACCCCTGCAGAAGGAGCAGGGTGAATAATGGGAGTTTTCCAGATGACGGACGAGTGTGGGTGCCATGGCGACGGTGCTAATGAGGCTGTGATTTGGGGTGTTGAGCAGGCAGATGGCCGTGAATCTCTCTCACACACACACACACACACACACACACACACACACACACACACACACACAGAAATGACACAGAGATGCGTTCTTTAAATATCACCTTGTTTTTATTACACAGACATACACGAGAGCGTTAGCAGCCTGCCTTCAGCTCCACTCCCACTACTTCTTCTGTCCTCTCTGTCTTTTCACAAGCACAGATGCTTTCAGGAGCGCTCAATCACAGCCTGGTGGGCTCTGGGAGACACATTATTTGGTCACAGGTGATTAACACACAGGCTGTTAGGAGGTTATGAAGTCTCACGACTGTCACCAAGTTTATTCGGCGGTGAGCACCAGTGTGGCATGACTTCAGATTAAAGGCTGGTTAAAATTGATATTATCTTTTTGATGCGTCTTTAACAGAATAACGGTTCGCTGGGGGTCAGCCAGCTAAATGTGGCTTTTTGATTTCTCTGGTTAACCCCTAACCTCTCTTTCCTGTGCCTCAACCACCCGTCAGCTGACTCTGACCAGTTAAACCATACCGACGCCCTCCTATGTGAAAATAAATAATCTACGAAAAAGGAAACCACTCCCTTTCAGCAAACAGAGGGTTCTAAAAAAAATGTACAAAGTCTTTGAAAATAGGTCAAGTGTGACTTAAAACTCAATTCTCTATTTATTTACATATAGAACCATATAAAACTGCAAAAGGATAAACAGAAAGGTCAACAGCATTATAGAAATTATATAGAAATCTGCCCCCACAGGGTCTGGTGGATCTTCTCGGAGCGTATGCACGGGGGTGTCAGACTATCGGATTGCTGTCACGTCCAACTCCGTTTCATTTTTCAAGCTCTTTGGTAACCCACACGATCACTAAAAGATAATAAAATATTCTTTTACTCTAATGTTATCATTTCTTACTTAACTTCCAAACACATGACATGACATGATGTAATTGGTTTATTAAAACATTTTCTTTTTTTAATTCACCAAGGGAAAAAAAAAACTGTGCACAGTGCAAATTCTACAAACTAACTTTTATGAGCCTTTTCAGAGAGTAATTTTGATGTTTTGGTTGAACCTTCGTATCCCCCAACTATTTTTCCACACTGTTCCCTGTCACTAGATGGCAGCACTGAGCCCTCTGCACTTCCTATGGACCCCTGAACACACCAGCTCTGCAAACTAAAACCACCGATCAAAGAGTGGTAACCGTAGGTGAAGTTGTACCGCGGAGCCACCTGCTGTACCACGTCCTCGCGCCCGTTCCACGTATTGATTGGCTGTTTGAAGCCGACACTTGCAAGCCACGGTGCTCTCAAACACTTCCCACAGCCAGCAGAGGAAAAGCAGAAACTGAAAACAGGCGAGCCTCCCGCACACTTTTACATTCCACTCTCTCCTAGCTACGTAGCACCACAGCAGCAAAGTTAAGCGAACAGTCAGTGACTTCTCCATTCCTTCAATTCACTTAAGTTTGCCATCTTAACTTTTAGTCCTTTGGTGAAACTAAAAGGACTCCTGCAGGATGAAGTTAGAAAGAAAACAAAAAAACAAATGGCAAACAAAACTAGGAACACCAGGTCTAAAAGAAACACTATTCTTTGAACAAAAAAAGGTGAATCACCAAACGAAGGAAAGAATGAGAATCATGGCAGTCTTAAAAAGCTGGAGCAGGTCCACTTCTCTGCTTCAGACTGCGCTCTGTCCGGTCCGTGATGGAGCTGCATCCAGGTCCCGCATCAGGACCAGACATGTCCACTCCCTCAGAGGGGCGGGGGTGGAGCTCAGGAAGGTGTCTCTAGAGGGCCTTGTGTTGGGCTCCTCTTCCAGCTCCCTGCCTGGTTACAACGAATAAGTTCAGCTCCCCAAAGCTAAGGGGCGGCTCCTGGTCTTTTAACTTCTGCTTTCTTCGGATAAAGTGCCATTGGAGTCTTTGAGCACAGGGACAGCCTGAGCTGCTGGCTGAGACAGACTTTCTGCCGTGTCTCCGTACTCGCTCTCAGCCAGTTCCCCGTCCCGCTCGCAGATTACTGTCATCGGGCTGCTGAGGATTCGGCTGCGGGCGTTGTACTTGCTGCTGGCAGCTGAGGGCGGCGTCCGAGAGCGCCCGTACTTAAATCCGCCCATTGAAAAGGGCGACGAAGTCGGCGAGGACAGGGTAAAGACATCATAACGGCCCCGCTCGTCAGCTGCCCTCTTACCCCGGCCCGGGGAACCGGCCGGGCTGTGCAGGGCCATCGGTGAGGAGGGAGAAGCAGTGGGGGAGTCCAGCGCCGATTCGGAGCGCGTTCGCTGGGAGCGTGGGTCAGTGGAACGAAGCATTTCGGCAGCAGACATCCTGAAACTGGTCTCAGAGCGGCTTCCCTTTTTCAGGAGAAGTGCCTTGAAGGTGTCGCTGCTGGTTGAGGACTTGCGGAGATTGCGCTGGATGGATCCCGACTGACGGGGCAACGACGACGTCATCCCTGGAGACAGGCTCGTCGGGGTGGTGGGTGGAGATTGCGAGTGGCTCCCAGGCCGGGTCTTGTCTTCCTCGGACTCCTTGCGACCCAGGACCTTGCGCTTTGACCTGTGGAAGAAAAGATGATTTTAAAATAGTCTTGAGGAATTCTGCTGAGTGAGCGAGCGGAAGCACGGCTGATCAAATTATTTTAGGGCAAATAAATGCTGACTCGACAGAGCAAAATACAGGACTAAGTTACTGGGGCAGTGTTGTCAGGGAGCAATGAGCTCAGATTTAACTATTCATCCACGGGATTTCACACATGTAAGCCTACTCTTGTTGATGTTTGTGCTGCAGCTTAAAAAAAAAAGATTACATTTAAAACTCTGCTGCCCACGTTCCACAAATCTTTGTCCCAAATTTGCCATATGTCAGCACTGCCCCCAGCAAACAAACATGGCGGCGTATCTCGGAAACAAACCAGGGCTAAGGAGCAGAAGAAGAAGAGTTACACATTTCAGGTTAAAAGAAATTCGGTGAGGTTTTACAGCAGAAGCTGCAGAAGCTGCAACGCTGCATGAAAGCTCAGACGCGGCACAATAAAATTAATCAAAAACAAACAGGAAAGCGCCCAGAGCTGTTTTAATCACATGAGGACGAGGCGGCCTCCTCTCAGCAGGAGGCGGTTGGTGGTTGTTGTGGTCGGTATCAGCGTAGTCTGCTGCACCACTCATCCTTGAGTGTTGATAACTCCTGCACCAAAGCATGGCAATAAAAGCTGCAACTGGCAGAATTAGGAGGCGTTAGGGCTTGAGGCGAAAACAGCCTTATTAATCTGTGTCTGTGATACCGGGGGGTGGCGGGTTGCACCGAGGGATTACTGCTGCTAATCCCAAGGCAGCATCAGCGTGGCGGTGGTGAAAACAAGGCTCGCTAATTAAAGGAAAGGGGCTACTTGCCACTACGCACCTCTCTAGAAACACTGCACCCATTCCCTCTCTGCACAGTGGAAAAAGAGAGGAGAAACATGATTAACGGAATTACAAGTACACATTCTGTGATAAGGGAGACAAAATTCTTTAATCCTCAGATTAGATCGTTGGAGGGAAATCTTCCCTAAAGGGCAAATAACCTGTGGGGATGTACAGCGCTGTGTGAAGGTCAAAAAAGTGCGAGGGAGGACTGAAGGGATGGAAATGGTTTGTGTGAGAATCTAACGCTGCAAAATATGTCTGTGCCCTAAATTCAACCTCCATCTAGCGTCATCCGCTGTGAGCTCCCTTTCCACATTAGCCCATCAGCATTACATAAGACTTTTCTCACGCACAATCCCACGTGCGTGCACTCAAACACACCTGAATTCAAAGGCTCCGTTGTGAACTTGCAGTGGCAAACATCCAAACAGAGAGCGCAGGTGCCAATCCCAGTTATAGAGGTAAACAAGGAGGCAATATAAGCATGGCTGCAATGGATCGATTTCTTTCTGCTGGCTGGATTACATTCGGTTTGGAGGATTTCTCTCACAACGAACTTGTGTTTTCGGCCGCTGCTGTGAAGGAATTTCAACTCGAGGCTTTTATTACTCTGATTTCACAGACAGTGAGAGAGAAAGGACGGGGGAACGTTGAGGTTGACGGAAAATAAAAACAAAAAGAACTGGGCAGGTGGTATTACAGGGGTGTTACAGTTAATACCCGGTGCTTCCACCCTTGAACAGTTCTCGATTGAATTTACAGTTTAGGGCACTTTTTGCAGATTGAATTTGTGCGAGTTCATTCTTTTGTTTGAGGGATCTTCTTTAGTTTTAACAGCACCGCTGGGAAACGGTTATCACTTCCCAAATCTGCAAAAGTATTCTATATCTCCCACGCTGTGAGGGTACGATAGATGGAGGAGGAGGAGAGTGGTAAACAAATGCTGCCTTGACTACAAACGCACACACGCTTACACAGTATTCACGTTTAATTAGGCAGCGCAATAAATGATACATGCACACGTGACGTGGGGACCATAAATACAGCAAAATGAAATCCTGGGACGCTTAAGAGAACTCCCCAATGCTGCTGCTGCTGCTGCACGTGACCGCGAAACCCAAACTGGCGGGCTGCATGAGAAATTTATGCCTGTGCCGCCTTCAGTCACAAGAGCACGTATGCAGTATATGTCAGAGACGGCGGAGCGGCGTGTAGACGGAGAAACGGAGAATGAGAAATGTCTCCAGTGGCCTCTAACCCAGATTAGGACCAGGGGGTGTCGAGTAGTAAATTATGGATGAAGCAACAGCCTTTTTTTCCCCTTCTTTCTTTTTTCTTGCTAAAAATGAGCAATTGTAATCTAACTACACTCACAAACACTTAGTATACAAATTAACCGTTGCCTTCATGCTTCACAGCCCTTCACTGGCCAGAGATCGGCTTTCTGACAAAAGTGTACTCTTCTGTATGGGATGATGCTGGATAAAGTTATGACTGAGAGGTGGAGGGCAGAGAGTGGGTGATGACTGAAAAACACAAATCAAGGGTGACACTGTGGTTTATGAGGATGTTGGAAAAGCAGGAATGACAGAGAGGGCAGGTGGAGAGGAAAGAAAAGTAGGAATAATAGGAAGCAGGACTAGATCGGGGAAATAAATTATGTATCCAGAGCCGAGGTGGGTGAGGAGAAAATAAGTTGCTGTGGTGCTCTAAAAATGAGCAGGGCGACAAGGACATTAGACGAGTGCATCGTCGTACCTGTGAATGGCGGCGAAGAGGTCCTCTGTGGTTCGGGGTCGCGTGGGAGTCGGGGTTACCATGCTCTTCTCGGACGCCCCGTTTGCTGACGGGGCTGGAGACGACTCGGCCGTACTGGATTCAAAGACGTCACCTGAGGTCAGGGGGGATATACAATTTACATCCAACACAGTCAGGAGAGAGCAGACTTTTAGGGAGCACACACTCCTACATCCATCCTGTCGCATTAACCTGGCCGCCTATGAAATCTGAAGTCGTACGGAGATGTCCAACTGTCTCCTTACATTCTCTTCCCTCTCTAGATTTTCCTCTTCTTTCATTTCCTCTAGTTTAGCTTTTTTTCCCCCTCCTCCTCCTCTTCCTCTTAACCTCCGCGCTCACGTCTGAGCTTCGACTGCCTGAGCCGCTGCAGGCAGTCTCACTTTACGCTCTCCCCATCCTCCCCTTCATCCCCTTACCAGATCCGTTCCCCTCCCCTCCGATACGACCGGGCCCCTCCCCCCTGTCCCTCTAACCACATAAAGCATCTCCTTTGGGATACTTACCCCCCTTCCCTTAACTCAGAGAGGGAGTGGGACAGAAGGACAGCTGAGTAGGAAAAACACGGGCTGAGCGATTAACACAAAAAGAGAGAGAGAGAGCAAGAGAAAAGGCAGAGGGGCAAAAATGAATATTTGGACAGAAGAGAAGGATGGATGGTGGAGAGGAGTCGAGTAGACAGCGGAGGCTGAGGTGTGTGTACGTGTGCAGCAATGCGGGGGGGGGGGACGACAAAAAAAGAAGGGGGACAGCAGCCAAAAGAGATCTCCGCATACAAAATATAGAAGGAGGAGTAGAATAAAGAGTAAGCGGGATGATTGCACGAGGCTGCAGAGCTGCTGTCCCAGTGATAAGCCGTCGCTCCCGCTTCGTTTTCACACTTTTCAAACCTTTAAAAGCTTCTGCCTTCAAGTTTAGCTCGCTTGCTTAGGGGCAAAATAAATTTTACAGCAGCTCAAAGGAACCCATTGCACAACCCTCAGTCTGCTGGATCACTTCTAACCTCGTAGGATTTTGGCAAATAAGTACATTAAGGCTTTCTGCTTCCGTTTCTGCATTTCTGCGTTTGTTTTGTGGAAACATATTCAGTAAACTACGAGTCAGACTCACCTGCCTCGTCGTCCTTGGAGCTGATGGACCCTGTGGTGCTGCTCGTCCCATCACAGTCCTCTTCCTCTTCTTCATCAGCCTCTCCGTTGGTATAAAGCCCAGAGGCATTACTCGTCTCCTTGCTAACAGATGTAGTGATACAAGACTCGTATCGGGTTTCAGTGAATGCTCCTTTGCGCTCTGCTAAATGCTCTAAAGTGTCTTCTCTCTCCTCCTGATGCTCACCGTCCCCCTCTTTCACCTCTTCTTTTGTTTGTCTTCGCGGAGAATCTACTTGGTCTTCTGTTTGGGGGATGTTCGTCTCTTCCTGCTGAGATGGAAACAGTTTATTTATTGTTTGGGGGCTTACTGGTGGGACAAGGGAAAATTTGGGCTTCTTGGAGACTGCTGGGGGTGGGGCCTTCTGCTTGATGGGAGAGCTTTCGTGGCTCTGTGCGGGACTGGGCAATGCTAGTGCCTCCTCTTTTTCATTCCCATTCACAAGTGTGTAACTCTCATCATCAGCTTTTCCATTTACGAAGGCAATGTCCGGTGAGTCCTCTGTGATGCTATCATCCAGTGACAACTCTTCCAGGAGCTTTGACACAGGCGATGGTGAGGAATAATGGGAATCCGCTTCCAGAGAGCTGTTCAAAAGGGGTAAGACAGTGGGATGCTCCTGAGAGTAACAGCTATCCAGGCTCAGAGGCTTTAGCCCCTGAAGGAGGTCCATCCCTGTTTTCTCAGCTTTGTTGTCATCTGTGATCTCCTTCTCTGGTCGCTTGACTGAACGAAGCTGAACGCTCTGAAGTGCAAATGGTGTGATGAGGGGCTTAGGTGAGTTTGTGGGACTGTTAGAAGGAGCTTCTTTAGGAGCATCATTTAGTGCCTTCTTAAAAGATGGGGAGGAGGAAGCTGTAACAGTAGCCGGCAGAGGAGGAGGAGGAGGTGGGGGTGGTGGAGGAGGAGGGGGACTGAAGCTCCCATTGGGAGATGAACTCGGGTGAATCAGCATCTCGGGGGATGGAGGTGGAGGGAATTCCGGGGAGGTGGAGCAAGTAGAGTTCAGGCTTAGAGAACCTCCCTGGGGAGTGGTTGGCAATGGGGGAGCTGGTGGAGGAGTCAGGGAAGCTGTGCTAGAGCTTGGCGGTAGAGGGGGAGGGAAGGGTGGAGGTGGGCTGAGAGGGGTGTTGGGAGTTGAGGAGGAGGAGAAGAGGAGAGGTGGTGGTGGTGGAGGAGGAGGACCGTTGCTCTTAAGTGAGTCTGAAGTGTTGGAGGAAAGGGAGGTAGAAGAGGAGGACATGGAAACTGATGAGAGGAGAGAGGACTTCCTCTCGGGGACTTTGGGTTTTGGCCGGCCGCCCGAGGGAGACATGGACCTGGCGAAGGCGGGCACTGGGGTTCCAGCTGTGGGAGTGTTGGACTGGCTGGAGTAGCCACTAGATGGCGAGGTGAGTCTATGCACCCGGTCTGGTGAGGAGGTTGAAGCTTTGGGCTTCGCCGACACCTCTCGCTCCTGACCTGGAGCTCCAGGGATCTGACTTTTGTGAATCCCTCCTCCATTCTGTAAGACTCCTGGGTGAACGCCGGCTGACATGTTATCTGCGGCATGGGCTGGGGGTGTCTGCTCCCCCTGGTCCGAGTTGTTACGAGGGTAGTCCATGTAGTAGCCCCAAGAGTCGGCGTAGTCAGAGCGCAGGCTGCTGGTGTCACTGTGGGCAGGTGTCACATGGCATAGAGAGTACACACTAGACACGCCGCCGCAGTTTGCGTTAGCTGCTAGTGATGCTGCGGAGCTGCCTGCACTGATGCTGCTGTGACTGCGCGGCCTGAGGACCCAAGGGTCATCATAATCGCTGCTTGGGCTGTGAGAGGTTGATGATGGCGACGCACCCTTTCCCTTCCCTCCTCTCAACCCCATCTGCAGGCTCTGCTGCAAGCTTGCAATTAGAGTTTCATTAAGTGTCGTACCCCTTTCCCCGTTAGCACCGTTGATGGCGCTAACGCCTCCGGGGGGCATTTTTGCAGCTGGCTTGCGTCTGAGAGAATCCGTGCGAGCTGGTGGCAGGGGAGGCTTCTTGGATTTGCGTAGGGAGATGCTGCGTGACAGCGAGCGGTCACTGTACAGGCTTCCAGAGTCCTCCTGATTGGCCATCTCGCGACACTCGTACATGCTGTGTCTGGTGGCCCGGCCAGCTGCCACCCCGTGCCCGCTACCGTGACTGCGCGAGCGCAGGCCTGAGTCCAGGTGCATAGAGGTGTAGTATCCATCATTGTCCTGGGAGTAAAGAGAGCTGGAATCAGTAGTGGTCCTAGAGGACTGATCCAGGCTGCCATAGAGCTGGTTGATTGGAGTGGAGCAACTGGAGGTCAGAGTGCGGTGTGGAGCCACCACGTTTTCTGGTGTGTCGTAGATCCAGTTCTCCTCCGGCAGACAAGATGGTGGAGTGGGGGCCAAGGTGCTGTGGCTGTGGGTGCTACTGTCAGAGTGACCTGACTCACTGGCAGGTGCTCTGACTTTCAGGCCACTATCCTGTGCTGTGTGAGTAGGAGTAGACGTGGCCAAGGCAGGGCAGGTGGAGCTGTGGGTGAAGGCTGCTGGACTAGAGATCAGCAGGTCAGCATTAGTTGGGGAAGCCAGACTGAGCGCTCGAGCTGCGGGGTAAGCTGAGACCGGGGACTGGGTGAGCTGGCTCGAGGTGTTAAGGGTAATAACCTCAGCAGAACTGGACATGGTGGCATTGGGGATGAACGAGGTGGAATAAGCAGCATGAGGAGAAACCACACATGCCGGACCCCCGCCCCACTCACTGGACAGTGTCCCCTTCAACTCCTGGGACTTGGGCCTGGGCAAAGTTCCTGTCCTCGGGGCGTTTCTCATGTGTACCACAGTATCGTCGACCTGAAGCTTTCCAATTTGCCTCTGCAGATGTTCCTCTGACTTGATGGGCGTGCTGCTATAGATGGGATCGGCACTGAGGGACACTCTTGCGCCCTGTCGGGGCAGACTGTGAAAACGCGACGGGTCTCCACTAAAATGCTGCGGCAGCATCAGTATTCCAGAGCTGTTGCTGCTGGAGATGGATATACTTCCTGTTGAAGAGGAAGCGGATATGCCAGCCATCTGAGCAGCGATTCCCTGTCCTCTCTGCGCTCGAATTCTTCTCATGGACGGGGGCACGATCTTTACTTCTTCTGTCTGACAGCTCGAGTCTCTGGTCACCGAACGTCGGAGAGTTGAGTTGACACTCCCAGTACGGCCAAGTGTGGAGTACTGTCCAGGGAGGAACATAGAATGTGGCCGGAGATCTCCGCCGTGTCCTTTTGCTGTTGTCAAAAAAAAGAAAAGAAAAAAGAAACATATCAACATGTGATTCCTCTTCCTGCTACCCCACCTTCACCCCCCCCCCTTGCTATAACTTCTTCAGCCACAAACCTTTCTGCTCTTCTGGCTGGAATGTCAGATAAACTGTGGTCACATGGAAGCTAATTAATTTGATTTGGCGTAACCTGATTTACGTTAATAACTTCTGGTCTTCTTCATTATGGAGAAAAGGATATGAGGAGAGACAGAGAGAAGGAATAGAGGCTCTGCTACTACGCTTCTCCTACGCTGGCTACATCAGATAGAAAAATGAAGTAGCTCCTTGGGTGCCAGGACAGGCAGCTGGTTAAGCATTAGGCAGAGAAAACCCCCCCAAAAAAACACAAATAGGAACACAGACATACAAGAAGACACGTGTGCATGCCAAGCCAGCCCTGTCATGCACAAGGACAAACATAAAATGCACATAACAGAAAGATGCACACTGAACATACCAGCTAATAAACAAACAGTTTGAAGATTGAGTCGTAAAACGAGAGAGGATGTCTACTGTGTCTCCCATCTGTGGTGGCTTCTACTGTTGATGCTCGTCTTCCAAAACATACACACTCTTGCGTCCTTTCTTCTCTCTCTCTCTCTCCATTCGCTCTGAACCACACATACACTCTCCTCCTCCTTTGCTAAAAGCTGGACTGACAGCTCGGCTGTTGCTGCTGCGATAGATTAAGCTGCAGGTCTACTTTGCAGGCAGCTCTGGTGCAAGGAGAGGGGAGGGATGGAGCACTGGGACAATTATCCCGGCCCAGTAATCATGACATTCAGAGGGTGTTGTCAGCTGGGCACTAACCAGACTTTAAAGCTCTTTTCCTATCAGCCTGGGCGATGTTATCGCAGAGCAATGACATTTCCCTTAAATGGTGCTGTCATCCCGAAGCTCAATGACGTGTAAATAAACATTAGCCATGCGGTGCTGTCAGCAGAACACGGTGTCAGATTAGTGAGCTTAGTACTCGCTTAACACTGGGCTCAGCTGAGTAACTCTGAGGGGACCTCAGCATCTTTACATTTCTAATGTAGGACAGGATGATAATGCTCAGAAAGAGCATGTGAAGGTGGCTTATCGACCTGAGATCAGGGCTTGTTGTCTCATAGATAGTTTATTAATAATCTTATGCTACCAGCATACACTATACAGATATATACAGAGATATACACACATCACAGACAAAAGGACTTCAGAAAGTTGATCCAAATGATCAACCAATCAGAAGCAAAGTCTGACGTTACCTTCTACCATATGACAGAACTGGCAAACTCTGCTGTTATGTTAGAAGTTTTTTAAGCAGTATAACAAAAAGACAAGAAAAACAACAGGACTACAAAAAATGATTTCATAACTTGTTCTTGGCTGCAGATCCTCGGGTGGAGGAGAGTGAATGAGGACAAATGATAATGTAGACATCAGCTGTAGCAGCTGCACATCCTTTATCCAACACTGTGAGCTCACTTGAGTCAGTCTGACCCTCCTGGGCTCGCCAAGTTTCTAACTGTACACAGTTATGTGTGATAAAAGCATAAACCTATAGAGAACAAGGTTGCTGGCAGTAAAGAAAGGAAGAAGAGATGCTTGTCTAGCGTGTTGGGACAGGTCTGTGGACAGCAGAGGGCAACATGTAGCTCCACAGTGATCCATACCTAGCTCCAGGTTGATGTTGTCAGGCAGCCCTGATATAGTCTTTCTGCGTTTGACCTTCTTGGGCCGGCGGGACACGGTGTCAGTGTTAATGAGGGAGCGCCGGATGCTCGCCTGTCGGTCAAACACTGCCCCTGGTAGCCGGGAGGGCGAGAGCAAGGCAGGCGGACAAACAGGCAAACAGCAGTCGGTTAGTCAGAAGGAACAAACTCAACAGACATGCGGAGGGTTTTTGTTTTTTCCAAGTTGGACATGCAACGTCAACAGGGCAGGAAATATTAAGGTCAGTTCAACCAAATTACAAATCAGCATTTTCTTTCCTTGCTTTTATTTTAAGTCTCAAACTGATTTGTGCTTCTAAAAACTTAAGATTTTAGTTTTTATTTATTTTTAAGGATGAATGCTTTGCTTATTTTTAAAAAGGATGATATTACTCAAGAGTGTCTTTGAGGATTTCTGTTATATTTATATTAAGGTGCAAAATCACATACTGGAAACCCCTGGTGTGGAACTGGAGACTGTTCTAAACAAATAATAAATGAGAATATAGCAAAATATGACAGGAGACGTCACAAGTGTAAGTACAGACTACAACACCTATTCCCCTTATCAAGTTAATATGATAAGAGAGGCACCTGAATTTTAACTTTATTTATTTTCATATTTATTTATTAGAGACATTATGTTATATTTTGTATTAATATTATATCATTTAATTCGTACTTTAATTGGTTAGTTACTGTCTTGTAGCAAATGTGAGCAAAATTTCCTCTGGGATTAACAAGTTATTTGATTCTGATTCTTCTGATTCAATTCCTGAGAAATGCTAAATATTAAATACCTAAAATCGTTCTTATGTCTGGATATCCAACATATCCAAACTACTAACTGGACTTGAAAAAAAGTCTGCATTTTTCTGAACTAAAGCTGGATTCAAATAGAAAGGTTTAACACTTTCTAGTTAAGTATGATTATGCTCAGTGGTGGGATAAGAGCGATCCACAAAAACATGTTGTGCAGCAAGCATGTGAATCTTCCTCTTCAACACGAGAAAGTTTAGCCTAATTGAGAAAATGCATTGTGTTATTTGGGTGAACTGAACTTTTTCACCAACCAGCCAAAGTGTCTTTTACAACCCACGGAGAGAAAATGGTTGCGATGCCAATCAAAAACAAAAGGAAGGGGTCTGACAAAGAAAACCTTGGCTGGCCTTTATGCAAACTTCCATTACGGGGTATAAACATACATTGATGTAAGATGTGTGAGATGAGAAGTACATGCTCTTACCACAAAGCTCAACATGCGAAAGGACAGATATGGGATGAAAGGTGCTTTCAAACTCACACACGTACTCATGCAAACATGAACTGCTTCTCAATAATCTCCTCGCTCTGAGTCCGGTTTCCCTGAAGGAAGAGTGATATGTCGCTATGAACTGCTGCTCTTTCTGCTATCTCACTAGCTGGTGACAGCCTGCAGGCGTCAGGGAAATAGAAACCGATATAAGGGCGGATAGCTGCGATCACAAATTCCTCCCAAAGTGGCAAAGCCCCTGATCTCTCGGTGGGTGTTTTACTCCTTTTTTCCCCACTAATTTGAAGTGACAACACTGATTTGTGTGGCGAGGGACCACGTTAAATGCTATTTAGTGTCAAAAGGCTGTAGATTGCAGATATATTAACTGTGACAATAAAATATAGATGTTGATGCTGAACTGAGAGTTCTGCGAGTCCATCCCACCGCTGGACTCCTTCCAAAAGAATCTCATGAACAAATCTTAAGATAAGTGTACCTATGAGTGGCGGAAAACCTTGAAAGATGTGGCGCGCTAACAGGGGAACTGAGTTGACACAAATTTGCTGTGTACGAGTGTTCATCTGTCAAACGGCCAGTGATCTGACACAAAGACGATGAAAAGCCTTGACCCTGGCATAAGCTGTCAAAGGACTTTCAGGCATAAACACACGCTCACGCATGCATAAAGGAAGGCAAAGGTCAGTCTGCAAGAGGCATGATGAGAGGAGTGAAGGTAACATAGAGGAGGAAGACATGGTTGAGTGCCACGTGCAAGTTTGCCCCCATCTGTGGATGACTGGATACAGTTCTCTATTATTCTGCAATCACTCATTCACAGAAGGTTGATTAAAGGAAATGTGTGACTTTTTTTTCTTTTTTGTAAACAGAAACAGTGAAAACTAATTAAACTAATAAACTGAAATGCAAATTTCTCATGACATGTCAGCATGCTGACACTCTCTTTATCATCGGATACCTCAATCAAACTGCTAAAAAAGTCAGAAATTTCCCTTAATAGCAAAAGGCCTGTCCTTGAGATGGTAATGCAAAATAAGAGACACCAGGGACGAATGAGGCCGATTAAACTGTACAAAAATGGAGCTACGGGTGGATCGGGACATTGGTTCTCAACCTGGCGATGAAGAATGGTTGCTACTTGCTAGCAGTTGAGAGACGGACTGAATGAAGTCATGAGGTGTGACATACCTGTGACATTGATGGCAACTATGTCTGTGGGTACGGCCTGAGCTGCCCGCCTCATCTTCTCCTCTGGGGTGGGGAGGAGGGCAGCCTTGTTCCATACCACCTGTCTGTCAGGGTCGGACCCCTCCCCTCCTTCGCCCATGCCCTGTGGCGTCTGAGACCTCATGGAGAGCTGAGATTTGTCATCCTCCAGCGATGAAGCGGTGGACTGATTGAGAGAAAGATAACATGTTAATGAGGGGGTAAAGCTGAAGAAAGAAATACTAGAAAGAGAGGAAAGGAAAGAAACAAGGAAAGAGGTAACATGATGCGACACAATGAAAGGCAATACATAAAAATAGCATCAGATCGAAGCATAAAAGTTATTACTAAGAATAAATGTCTATATAACGGTATAAAAGGTGGGTGGAAATAAATATCATAGGATTTACTAGTCAGAACCATAAATGACAGATTGTGCCAATATGAGCTGAACAAACTTTAATATATTACACTGCTGTGACCTTTAGAAGCTTGCGGCCCCGTAAACATCCTATCCAATGGAAACGGTCAACCATGCACACACAATCACACAAATAAACACCCGCCACAGAGAACTGACAGAGCAGTTGGAGATGGGAGGATAAAAGCTACAGAGCAACAGTGGGGAGAGACACAGAGAGAGAATCACTCATGCAGTAAACTGTGCTGACATGCTAAGGGCCCTGGATTGTGAATTTACGGCAGAAAGCAACAGACAGCGGTGCTTTACCCCAGCGTCCAGGCTTGAAGTTGAGCAGTTAGTCCAGAGCATGGCAGCAATGTTGTTTAGGTTGATGTGAGTGCCATTTGTTTCCATTCAGAGCAAAGAAAATCCAAATGATTCTAAATTGTAGTAATTATAGGTAGTTACAAAATCCAGATGATTGCCACCAATTACTACTGCATCACTCAAACTTTTCCTATCCCCTGACTGAGAGTGCATTCATACAAACAATGCACGGATGGATGGGTAAATATGGGGGGCAGCAAAAAGGGGAGGTGAAGAGAGGGGATGTATATAAAAACATCTCAGCAATAGTTTGGTTTCAAGCATGGCTTATTACTTTGCATAGCTGTGGCTCAAGCGGGAGCCCTGTTTCTTCTTTAGAAGCTGCTGTCAGGCAAAGTTAGGCTCAGCGGTCTCAGTACAACAGGAAGTGATGGGGAAGAGAGCAGGAGGGGGACAAACAGCAGAACAGTGGAAGAAGGGGCAAGGAAGGCAGGGCAGAGGGGGATTGGCTTGAGCTGAAGAGATGGGGTGAGCGTGCAGAAAACAGGAGGACAAACAAGAGATGGGAGGCGACAGTTTAGAAAGACAACATGGAAGTCAGGGGTCAAAGCGAGGATGAAACCGAGGGGCTCCAAGGGACAACACAGTGAAAGACCCACTAACCCTTTCGAGTGCCCTTCACATCACACTGTGTGTGTGTTCGAAATAAAAACGAGGAGATGAGGAATATGCAGCTTTCTGACCATTTACGCTTCACTTGACACAAATTGTCTGTCAGATGAAAAGAGCAAGAAATAATAGTTTTTGTCTCGGATTCATTTTCTTGTCAATTTTTTTCTACCCGTCTTTATTTCTGCCTCAAATTTCTGTTTCTCTTCTTTAGTTTCTTTCTTGAAGTGTTTATAGACATCAGAAAAATCACAGACCCCACAACTGTGGTCAACAAGTGTGCATTTCTTCTACAATGGTCTGCAAATGTTTGGAGGAACCCCTTGCTTAGTTACATTTTTTCTGGGAAAAATATCAAGATGATCCCACACTGTTTCAATAATACTGAGGTCTGGGCTCATGACATGACTTTCAGATTTTGTTCATCTGCTGTAAATTCACTTTTTCTGCCACTTCTACTTCTCCAGTATCCTCACACCATGGTGAAATATGCCAAGTACTTTATCTCTGTGTTATCTTTCATATTTTTCATAGATTCAACAAAAGACTTTGAAATAATTATGTATTTATGTATTAGCAAAGTTCTCTGTTATGTGAACACAGGCTTGGTGTCTTTTTAAATGCGTGAATGATTCACAGGTCAGAGTGACTGGGCTGGAATGAAAACAAGTAAAAAAGCAGCCAATTTCCTGAGAAAACCTTTGCAAGACCTTCAGAAAACCTGGAGAACTATTGCTCAAGACCACTTCAAAAAAATTACAAGAAAGTCTGGCGCCTTAGACAAAAAAAAAAAGAAATGATGGATGGCTCAAGACTTTTTCCCAGTACTGATCACGCTCACCTTATTTGAGAAATTAGACAGAAAATGAGAAATTAGACAGAAAAATGGAAAGACCGAAAGCTACACAATGTGACAAGACTGAAACTTGGATAAAATGTAGCACTTCTTTTTCCAGCCACTAGAGGGGAGCCTAACACCATTTAAATTATTGTGCACGTGTTCTGCACCTGTATGCAAATAGAATGCAGAGCCTGTTGTACCTGCTACATTTGAAAGCATACATTAAATTAGGTGGGTATACATGCATACTGTGATTATGTATACCTTCTTATCATTTTCATCATCCCCGTCATCCTGCAGGCTGCTGGTGGACTGAATGGGGTCAGAGAAGGTGGGACCCTGAGAGTAGTACTGGGAGCTCCGGAAACCATCTTTCCTCAACTTGTCACATTCTGAAGAACAAAGAAAGAGACAGAGAAACAGGTCTTAAACTTATTTGCTTTGGTGGCCTTTGATGAGAACTTTCTGATCCTGCTGAAAGGTGCAATTTTCACATAATGAAAGCGACATTTTATTTCGCACTATTTAAATACACTCAATACAAAGCTTTGCTTCACTCATTTCCATGAATATACTACCAAATAATCCAAACAGATGCTATTAAATATTCAAACTTTCATCCCATAACACAACGATAAGAAGAATGTGTGAAATATTTATGGGACATAAACATAGTGTTGTATTATCAAATGTGTACTGTAGAATAAACCATTTGCTGTCTGTGTGTGTGTGTGTGTGTGTGTGTGTGTGTGTGTGTGTGTGTGTGTGTGTGTGTGTGTGTGTGTGTGTGTGTGTGTGTGTGTGGGCTAAGTTCCCTGCTGGACTCTGCCAAGCGTGCCTCACACCTCTTCTCGTCACCACCTGCCGTGATGAGGTTGTGATGTATGTACGTCAAAGTGAGATAAGACGGCAAGTGTGTGCGTGTGTGTAACCAGAGGAGGGGGGTATCAGCTTCAGTCTGTCACACACAGATGGCAGAAGCGTCCCTCTCTCTCGCTCTCTCATCCTCCCCCTTTTCCTCTCAGGGGGGAATCTAGCACATCATCTCCCTCTTCCTCTCCCTCTGCAAATATCTACTAATGCATCCTTTGTTTGGTCTTTAGGAGGCAATTAAATTCACATACTTCTTAAACATCCTCAGGAAAAAGCCTCAAGAGTTGTTCATGCTTTTACTGATGAAGGATGAAATGATCAAACACACTATGAGGTTGCAACCTTATTTAAAATAAACACAAAATCCAACTTCTACGCTTCTCCCTAAAATTAACGGCACTTTAAAATAAGCGCGTTTCTTTTTTGACATCTCATCTTTCTCTGTGAAGTAATCCTGATCGATTCAAATGTAAAAACCCTTCTATAAATGACTGATTATTTTAATCTTTCATCTTGGATATTTATTCAGTGTGTTTCGCAGGATCAAACTCCCTTTTGGTGAATTAAACATGCGTGCGTGCTCACATCACTGTTAGCCCGCCACCTAAAACATGCTGCTCCTGATCCCTTTTACATCCTGTTTATTTCCACTGCTAATTACAGCCCATCTCCACACAGAGGCACACTGATGCATGTATAATGCTGTCAGTAAATGGATCCTGATGGGGCTTGCGTGCGTGGATACTGTAACAACAAGTTGATGCGGTGAAACGGTGGAAGATGGGACTCAGAAAGCAATGATAATGAGGACGATGGCGGGAAGTGGAACTGCTCAGATGATTGGTGTTGCATGATTGGGGACGGTAAATGAAATAAATAAGCTCTGATGAGCTAAGTGTGGCTTGTTGCTAGGCAGAACTGATAGGGGTGGGGGCAGGATAAGTAAGTGATATGAAAAGAAAAGCAGAAACTAGATGAGTCTCTCAGATACTTTTAACAGTGAAGGAAATCTTCTATTAAAAATGTGTTTTTCATTAGGTCTTAGTGACCCTGACCTTTGACCTGCGGACTTTAATTTGTGCCAGGTAAAGGTGTTATATTGTTTTCATGTGAATGGGCTAGATGCAGGTACAGATGTACAAAGAAAAAACCTAAAGACTGCATTCGTCCCACTGGTTTCACCATTAATGTGTCCCAATCTGAAGCTGATATAAATTGAAATAGAGGATAAAAAACACAAAGGTGCAACTGTCAGGGCTACATGTAAAGCTGTGACAGCTGCAGGGAACTGATGACGTTGATTCTGGAGTAGGTACTGATGATGGTGCATGACTATGATATGACTGACTTTTTTGGATGCAGGGGGAAAGTATTTAAACATTATTTTTCTTTCATTTCATCGTAAACACTGGCAAACAAAATGGATCCTGCAGTTATCACTCAATACCGTGTTATGCAACTTTAAAAATGTATTTCAGCCTGCTGGCACATTTTCAATAATCCACTAAACACACGCTGAAGCCCATGTGAGAGTTTTAGAAGGACAAAGAGGGGACGCACATTTCTATCCGACTGGATATCGATTATTAGGCTTTGCAAAGAATAAATCAGCCTCGTGGCACTGTGTAGTATATATGATTACAATACCCAGGGACTGATCCTCGTTTCACCTCCACATAAAACTTCTAAACTGTTAGTGTTGTGAGCGTAACGTTTACTTTTGTGATTTATTTGCTATTGAGTTTTACACTACCTTACCTTCCTTACGAAATAATAATATATAATTTCTTATGAAACCCCAACAACTTTTATAAAGTGAATGCCATATACACTACACCAGGAGTGTCAAATATAAGGTCAGGGGGCCTGAATCGGCCTGGCAAAGACTCCATCTGGCCCACTGGATGGCTTTGGAAAATAATGTAAATAAATGTTGGACTTTTAGCTGTTTTACAGCTTGTCCTCATGATGAAGACGTCCCCCATGGCCATATGGACTGAAAGTTCCTATCGGCAAGTTTTTGTCACTATGGACTTTAGAAATGTTTCTGAATATGGGTTTACAGTAAAATATAAATAAATAGTTTCAGGTTAGAAACATGGCTGCACTAACATACGTTTCCTCTGTTGGCTGAGATGTACAGCGCGAAGATCAGCCCGTAAAGACTTATCAATAGACATTTGCATTCCCCTAATTAGACGTCTATAATCTATATCACAGACTGATTGATTATTGCCCTGTGAGATAATGGCACAAGCCTCATTAAATAAAAAAAAGATCACATATAAAGTACAGTACTAAAAGAAAAAAGAAAAAAAAAGTCAAAGCTCACTGAAAGTCGGGTAAGCTCCGCTCTCCAACAAGGATAAAATCTAAAACAGTAAACGTTCTCTGCTTGTAAAGCGCACTGAGGCTTAAACAGACACCACAGGTGCTCGCTCACTGGACACCTGTTGTCTTGTCGTTAGGACCCCCGGGGATACGTGGTGTTGTCAGGTTGATAGGTTGGTGACAGGATGAGAGGGAGGGGGGCTGAATTAATCCCACCTACCAGGTGGTGTTTTAAGAACAGCAACAGTTCAGGGGTTTGAAAATTGGAAAAGACAGAAGACAAAACAGGGTGTGTGCATTAGAACCGGTGATTAACCCACTAACAGTAAGCATCAGCTTTCAAACACTTTCCAGTTTATCTCTCTTTCTGCCTTTTATCTCTGTGTCTAATCAGCTGACACACAAGGCCGGCCCTGGTGAGCATGCAAACAAATGTAGTACAGTCATACACTCAGTCCTACACAGAAACTCGGAAATATGTGATTTTTTTTCCCCAAACTGTTATCTGCGAAATGGTTGAGGGGCAGCTTTCCCAGGAACAGGTGCTGGTATTCCCACTTCCTGTTCCTGGGAAAGTTGTGACCAGTTGAACAAGTTGTCACTCTGCTGTGAGTTTCTGTTTGTCAGCAAAGCCTGAGCCTCTTCCCCCACTGAGCGGGACAAACAAGTCTGCGATGTCAGTTGAACACAACTCACAAGTCGGGACATCTTTTTTTGAGTTACAGGCAAATGTACCAGTGTCACGAGCTTACTCCGATAAAAGTGACGCCACCTACCAACAGTCCCATGAGTGAGATTCAACAGTTTGTAACTGGTTTGGCTCACATTCAGCATTTTCCCTTTGCTATTTGTGTAAATATATGCCATGTACATTTCTTCTTACTTAGATATTTTATTTACATATCTAACATTTTGGCAATTTTATCTATCATCCCATCTAAAACTAATTCCTTCATATGTTGCTCCGGTGTGTGGTGTATAACGTGCTCTATTTTGATTTGTCTTTACCTCGCAGGGCAGTTTTGAGGTTGACTTTGGCCTGGCGGTGGAGGTCTTCTACGCAGGGCGGCCTGCTTCCCGGTAGGAAGACGTTCTCCTGCTGGTGCCACGGAGCTGTGTAGTGAACCGTCCACTTGCTCTCCTCATCCAGGTTAGACACCGCTGCAGAGATAAACAAAGCAGATTAAGGATCGATATAGTTCCCTCTGCATGATATAACAAAAAACCTCTCCGTGAAATCTGACATAAAAATGAAGGACAGCGAAAATAATAATGAACTAAGAACCGAAACATGTGTGGCCCTGCAAGTCTTCCAAAGAGCAGCATTGTTGGCCAACTTAAAAAAAAGTAAATAAAGAATAAAGTAATAAAGAAGTGGTGGAAAAATGTCCCCAAGTACTGACTATTCAAAGTGTTTCATTGTATTTGCAGATGAAAAGGAAGGGGAAGGAGGCTTAAGTGTTTTGCATGAAGGTGGCAGACTTAACAGCCTTCAATCAACATGACACTTATCTGTGACATCACACACATACAGTAGGCCTCACGAGTCAAGAGGGGGAGGGAGAAGCTTACTGGGACAAGTTGGAGGGAATCGCTAATCAGTCGATACCAACTCAAAAAACTTGTAACTACTGGCAACTGATTCCATTAAACCGCTTACCTAACTGTAAAAATCCTTCCTCGAAAAAAATAAAATATGACAAAGACACCGATACCAAACAGGCCACATTGCTGGGCACTTTGGAAGCTTACTATTAACAAAGAGGCTTTGAGGTTACACAAAATACACCACTGTTTAGATTGAAAGCACATTAATTAACAAGGTCAGGGAGAGGCACTTTTCATTATCCAAAACCCTTCTCTCAGTCATATCTGCTGATAAAGCGTTCACATCTTTTCTGTCCCACTAGTCCAGTCCCAGAAACAGAAGCCCGTGAGGCCATCACAAGTCACTGTGTGAATAAAAATGCTGTCGAAATGTAACAAACACACACTCTTCCTAATTCTTAAGCTTACCAAGTGAGCGTATCCAAGCCAAAGTGGGTGATTGCGGATGTAAAACTATCTCCATCGACGGAGACAAAATGTAAGCAAAGACCTCTGAGTTTGTCCCTTTCTTTGCAAACACAACATAGCCATTCTCTCAGGCAGCTGGACAAGTTTGTGAGAACCAGGAGGAAGGGGACGGATCATGGCAACGCCTGGGAGTGTTTTGCTTTAGGGTTTCTTTCACAGGTGCAAATGAGCTGAAGTGTGTTGGGGGGGCAACATCTGCAAATGGGCCCTTAATGACAGTGTGACACGCTGCAACTGCTTTTATATATACATAACTGCTAATACATGCCAATAATGACCATGTCAAAAGCACTGTTCTGTTAATCACCTAAAAAGTACAGAGTGGGTGTAAGTGGATTATTTCCACTGTTGAAATAAGCCAAGTGCATACAACTTCAGGTTGTGACCAATTCCACCTTAATATCTCTACTGAATGCTTCTGATGCTCTGGTTCACACAAAGGCTGTCATTTTAACTCAAGTGCAAAAGGCCCAACTAACAAATCTCTAAATCATGTTTTTTGCTTTTATTTAAGCAGGAAGTTCCACTTTGATTTTATTTTGAAAGTTACGATCAGGTTTAGGCTGAATTGACACTTGATATCAATGCCAGATGTAGTTCTTCTCAGCTGTTTTTCATCCACTATGCTGTCATCTGTTTACAAAATAAGTTGCACTTTCCATGACGGTCATCCTTCTGCCTTTGCTGAGTAGGCTTCATGTGGGGTGGGAAAGTTTTAATGACGTAATCTTTGCAATTCATCTGAAAAGCAGTCCCACCATACAGGATTGTCAGAATACCCGCCCGTGCATAAAAGTGTGTTATCTCAGTCAGCTTGATCAATTTTAATGGAAGTTAATGAGAGGGGGGGGGGGAGGATGTGGTGTATACATGTGGTGGTAATCACTGCATATCTGCCTATCTGTAGTCATGCTGTTTTGCAGCGTGCTTGCACTGGTCAGACAGTCAAATGCATCACGAGGCAAAGCTGCTGACCACAAGACGGTCCCATGCTGCTCCAAGGCCCAGACGCACAAAAACGTGCAGATACCACATGCAGATACTTACACACCAGGGAGTGGCAGTGCAGATTGAAAAGTCAAGGTCACACCAACAGTTCAAAGTTATAACATGCCTTCGAGCAAGTCACTGACGCCCCAGGCTGCACGTGAACGGGAGCTGTTCTCACATCAGCTTGCTTTATCAAGCTTGCTTTTTTTTTTTTTTTCTAAATACAATTTGAAATTTCCTTGATCTCTCTCACACACTAAGCACAGGTAGCCCCTCCCCCACCCTCCTTTTAGACCATGGGGTTTGAATAGACCTCAGTGAGGCTATAGGCAAACCAAGGCGATGGGGACTAAGGACACAAAGCATTTATTGTCCCTCTGCATCAGTCTCCACATCAGGCCTTTCAATACCACAATGACCCCAAACTCCTCAACACACACACTCACACATGCACACACACACACAGTCTCATACATAGTGGACTCTGGCGCGAAAGTCTTTCAGAAGTCCCCTAATCCCTCTGTCCATCGACATCCCAGCCCTGCCTGTGCTCTTTAACAAACACAGAAAGCAAAACGATGCAAATACTAAAAATGCAAAGGCTGCATAAAGCAATCCTTTTGAGATACATTAGCAGTCGCGAGCACGCACATACATGCACGCTGTGGAATTAACTGTGTGATCAATAACAGCAATAAAATTCCATTGGAGAGATCTATGTTAATCCTAAACTAAGTCCTCGATCACCTCCAAACACATGGATCGACTTTCAAACATGACTTTTAATTTGTAAACACTTTTATTTTTAATTTGTCAGAAAAAAGGAAACAGAGGTGACTGTTGATATCTTGAATAATAAATAATAAAATTAAAATTAAAAAAGGCAACTAGCATCTTTTGTTTGTGTGTCTACAGCAAACAAGTTTTTGTGGACAACATTTAATCCAAAGTTTACACTGATAACTGCAACCATCTGAGGAGGTCTACACTGATCTGCATATAAAAGCATTGGGATTGTCATGATGCGCAGTTAAGGTGCAAAGTGCAGGCATGTGCAAGACAGTAGCACAGGACTTGTTGACTACAGAAATGCTGAGCTAATGATTAAGCGCATCACTCCAGCTTTAACTCAGCACACACACACACAGGCTATAAATAAACCACAAATCGCAGTCTTCACAAGCAGCTTGCTTTGCATCAATCATGTCTTTGTTACAGCCTCATCTGCTTAATACCAAACCATTGATAAAATAATAGCTAATCGCCTTAAACAAAATCTAGTGTACACAAGAGGCACTTTAAAAAGTACTTCTCATGAGGTTGCTGTGGGTTTAACTTCCTGCAAGTGTCACTAGGGTTGCAGCAGGTTATTCTAAGTACAATAATAAGAAACTACAACAGTTTCCAGGTAATACACAATTACTGCTAGTTCCACTGACCCTAAGTATCAACAAAACCTCATGCGATACAAGTCTGACAGACAATCGAGGTGGGAAAAAAAAATGACAATGCACATGTGCAGGGGAGATTCTACCATCATCCACTAACGGCAACTCTCACTGTCACCTTTAAACAAGCTGTTGGGTCATTTGGTGCTACAGTTGTGAAGTCCTGGCCCAGCGGTTACCTGGTAACGGGGTGCAACAGAGGGTTTTGTTTGTGCTTAGCTGAGGCAGCAGGGAAGCAGTTTGACCACAGGACACCATTAGTTCCGATCAAATCAGAAAGATCATTACGGCGGGTGTTTGTACACTTTTGACACAGAGAATCCTTAATGAAGCTGTTAAATCTAAATCCGCTTCAATAAATGGAACGCCGTGGGAATTTTCAGACACAAATGCATATCCTGTCAAAAATGATTAAAACAGTCAAAATCTCTAACCAACCACATGCAGTATTGATAGGGAGATTATTCAAATGCACATTAATGATCAGTATGGAACAAAAAATGTCTTACCCTTCCTTTTGAAGTACTTAATTACAGATTTTAACGAGGTCCCGATAAACACCATTTTTCCAGATCAGCGTATATGTCTCCCTCTTAGAAAAATAATAATAATAATAATAAATGCCTTTGTTGAGGCTTAAAAAACCAACTAAAAAAATCCAAGGAATAACAGAGAAGACGGGATGAAGGCGTGCTGGTGCTCTTCCGCTCACATTCTCACGGCTTGGCTGCGAGTGTACGTGAGCGTCTACTAGGCTGACAATAAGTCTCTACCCCTATCTGTCTCTCTGAACACACACACACACACAAATCGTCCGCCACTCCCCCCCTCAGGCAGTTCAGTCCTCGGAGACAAACACACACACACACACAGCAGGAGGGGTGTAGGACCGGCCCCTCTGTTCCTCTGTGCTTTGGTTACCAAGGAGTTCTGGCTGCCTTTCCCTTTATTTTTCATTATCAGTCATTCTCCAGTGCTCTCTTTATTATCGCTCTACACTTTCATTCTACTTTGCTCAAATATAGAAGTTTTTTATTAGCGTGTACAGTCACTGTGTTGCTTTTTCGGTTTGTGCATCAATACTCATATCGTTCTTCGCGCAGCTCTTTTTTCACACTTTCCACGGGTGCGCAGCCTCTCAGTGAGGGACTCATCTGCAGAAGAATATTTATGCATGTAATTAAACTTCGAGTTACCCCACAGAACAACCTTGCACATCATCAGGAGGGGGAAAAAAACATGTTGAGCTTTTCACGAGGTACTCTCAGGTGGATGGTGCTTCAAGCAAAGTGCAATGCAAACAAAAAATATAATTGCCTACGGTAAATTACACTCATGCACTGACATTTAGCTCATCTGGTCTCATTTTGCATCTCTTTGTAAAACAATAATCCAAAAATGTGATCATCTACTAATAAGTCAATTTTGCCTTTCTTTAAATCAACATTTCCTCCTCTGATCATTCCCAACCTGCTGTGTATGGCAGTGAATCAGTGCTACATGAATACAGACTTCATACAATCCCCCCATTGTCCAATCTGCTCGCAATCTATCATGCACACACTCCAGCACCCAGCCATTCAAACACACACCCATGCACACACCCATATGGGAAGGACAGCCCCGCCTTTCGCGACCGTATTTAAT